TTAATATTCTGTGTACATATTTTTTCTTTAAGTTTTTATATATTTTTTACTTTTGTTAATAGACCTAAATGTTGATCAATCTGGAGAAGAAAGCTTCTATAAAAATCATTGCGCTCTATCTCGAAACGATCTTCATTCGACTCTGAAAATCGTTAAGTCGAATGAATCTCTCTAGGGGGTTCGACGACGACAAGCTGCTGAATCTATCGAGACGGGGGGCGTTCCGCGCGCGAGCAGGAGGAGCCCCGCGGCACAGGGTCTTCCGTTAGTTCATCGTCTTCCGGTGACTTCCGGTGGCCTCTAACGAGGGACAATGCTCCTGGTGCACGCTGTGCACGCGGCGCACAACAATCGCGTCTCAAGTTCCTTCAGGCGGGAGGGCGGTGCTGCCAGTCTCGCTTTCCTCGTCTCCGCTTCCCATTCTTTCTTCTTCTCGACTACTTATGCCACGTAACGTGGTCCTCAATGACACATTAGAAGCCAGCACTCCGAAAGGCGAGGCGTCGTGTGCGTGCACAACACTGATGAGACGAAAGAGAAAGAAAGTGTGAGAGAGAGATCGATACGATTCTCCGACTCGAACACAAATTATAGACTCCCCGATCGACCGTTGACTCGGCGACTCGTAGATTCGCCATTCGCTATTTTAGCCACTCGGAATATATGGGCTTATGGCTATGTACTCGTACTCGTTGTTCGCGAGCACGGCAATGGCATTCACGGACACGCACGTCTCTCGAATCTCGATCCTTTTCAGCGGATCGCGCGCCTGGCCCAACCTCGACTCTCATTCTGCTCGCTCGGTGTCTTTGTGGGGAGACGCGCCACTCACTTCGGGATATATCAAGGAGTCGACCACGTGAATTTACAGGAGGCCACTCGAGCGCGAGACAATTGTTTAGTCGCCTCGAGGATTGACTTCTTTCTCTCTTTTTACTTCTTCAATGAGCTGCTCTCCTTCTTTTCTTCTTTTTTTTTGTCTCGATCAACCAACTTTTTCCCCGCGCGACCGTTAACGGTCGACTCAGACGTCTCGTCGTCGAGCAGTCTGCTCTCTATCTCGACAGATTCCCAATCGAACTATGGAAGCGCATAATGAGATATTGTATACTTCAAGTGCCATGTAAAAATCAATCTCAAATATTTAGACAAGGTATTGGAATTTCTTCAATTTAATTCTCCATTCCGTACAATCTGTTTTCTAATAAAATAATATCATTCATATAAAATTATTTATAAAAGTCTACGATACATAAAGATTAAATGTATAAGATTAGAATGTATTCGAACAAGAATAAAAGTCTTGAACTTTAATGAACGGTAAATCAGACAAAATTTCAACATCTAAAACAGTACTATCTTATATGATAACTAGAAACGCAATTATAGTAATACAATACGAGACACTACCGTGTCTCCAGATAATCATTTAATTATAAAGAAACAGATTTATATATTTTACAATGTCGACTGTTCATTAAAACGTTCAATCCAAACGTGTTATAAACGGCAAGGGAAAAGCGTCTCTCTATCTGTCGCTCCATCCTTTGACAGTGGCAGTGGGCGACACGCCCGCAAAATTGCTTCTCCGGCATGGAAGCTGGGTTGCCGCACGAGAGAGAGACAATTTTTCGGGGGTTGCGAAAAATATTAATAACTCCGGTGTTGCAGAGTAAAGGACGAAGGGCTTCCCGAGTAAGGGATGGCATGTTCGAGGGGGAGGTCGTGAGCGGCGGGTGAGGTGTAAGGGTGGCAGTAGACCGGGGGCAGCGACGAGGGGGTGGCAAGTGTTTCTGTCAGTTTAATAGCTTCGCGCCTACCTACCTCCTCATCCCTCCCCTCTCGCCGATCCTCCCTCTTTACTCGCACAAACTCACCCTGCACGCGTACACTTTGCCGTCGACATTACAGCATCGTCACTCCACGTGTCAGAAGTTACGCCAGACGTAGGAGGTCTGCTTAGATCTGATAACCCTTTGATATTCCTGTTATTTATTGCCCCCTCGTAGTTAGTCGCCGTCGGCGTCGTTGGCGTCGTCGTCACATGCGTGAGAATCGATCGAACTCGATCTTCAGGCAACCCTCGCGTCAATTGGATAACGACGGTTATGATATTCGATGATTATTGGAAATAAATGACACGTGAGGAATTTTACGTATCATGAATATAATCGGTCAAAGATAATTTTAGACTTTGACTTCAGCCATAACGTATGACTAATATGTTTGTAGGTAATATTATGAAGTACGAGTAAAATCAGCATATTCCCTCCAAACATCTAGAATTACAGGTCTTGTAGTTTTAAGAAATAGGACTCCCTGAAAGATTGAAAAACGAATAAATGACATATCGGCGGAACGTGAGAGAATACACGGTTATAGCGGTTGATATTTTTGCAATAATCATGAAATTATGAAAGCAGCATTACATGTTTCGCAGAAATGTGTTTTATGCAGGTAATAATAAATATCTAATTATTATTAAAGCTAGAGTGTAATAACATTTAATTTTGTGTAATAATATATAAATATTTTAATTATAAATATGTATGTAAAATTTCTAAATAGTATACACTATATAACATAGAAATAATGCATTACAAACAAACGTTATATAAACATGTATAAATGTTTCAGAAATGCCGATTTTTACTATTTAATTATATTTATATTATTATTTAATTATATCGGCGTATATAATTAAATTGTTTAGCTACTAATTGACTTTATATGTTTTATTATTTAAATTTTAAATTTTATATATTCGTTTTGCTAGTTTAATATTTGAAAATTTTGATAACTTTGTTATTTTAATTTTTTTTTATTATGTATGTAAAGGGTTCGTAAGATAATAGTTTCAGAAATTCGCGAAGAAAAGCATTTCCATTTTATTAAAGGGTATGATTTTCTTATCGCGCTGAGAGAAACGAAGGTGCGCGCAGTAGGTGATATCACATCCAACGTAGAGACATTTTTATGCCGGTGTAAATCAAGCCCCTCCAAATATTGCGCGAAGGACAAAGTCGACGCTGAATGAACGAAGGGTACCGGCGTTACCGGCCATAAAGAATGATATAACTACACGCGACACATGTCTTCCCGGGTGCGAAACACAGTCATATCGTCGTTACTGCCTCCTTTTTCCGCGCGCGCTTTCGCCGGCCAGAGAAATGAAGATTTGTTTCGCCGTCTTTCGGCTCCATCATATATTCCTGCGCGGCTTTATTCGCGGTCGTCCCGATTTTATGACGTTCACGCGTAGGATTTAAATCATCGTGCTTGCTCGCCTCGGAAATAAACCGGCAGGGAAATGTGCACTAATAACTCTCGATTATCTTCATGTTTCTTAAAGTCGAGGATGACAATCTCAAAAAAGAAAGAAACGCAAATAGAAACTTTTGTACGTAGTAAGATGGGAAAGGAGAACGTAAACAAAAATCTTCAAATAAGTTTGTTTTATATAGATACATTTTTAATAAAATTATTTTAATAAAATATAAGTTTATTTCTTTATATTGTATATTTGCTTCCTTTTTTCTGATATTATATTACATGTATATATTCTTTGACTTTGAATTTTCTGAGATGAAAGAAGAAACGAGGTTTCGTTACGTGGAATATTTTTATAGGTCACCTATAAATAAAAAATTTAGAAAAAATTGGATTCATGAGAATGCAACTGAAAAAGCCTGCTTCGATCGTTTTTCTATAACTGTAACGATTTCTGGGGAAATCTCAAGTCTCTTTTCTTAACTAAGACGAACGTTACATACAGAAAGATATTTTTTCCATCAGAATGTGAAGCGCAACAATACGCGAGATTGGCGTTTCTGATACTCTACTCTTTCGATTGACTTTGAAGTTGAGTCGATGGACAAATCGCGGCAAATTGTGAAGTGTGGTTGGAAAAAATGGAGAATTGACTGGGAGGTTTGTGACAGCGACTTTTCGCAGTGAAAAAGTGGCCGCCCTTGTCCAATAAGGACTTCGGTGGCTGTCCCGCTGACCTCGTCTCTGCGTGGGGTCTTTTCTTCCCTGCGTCTTCATAGAAGTGCTTTTCGATAGATTTTTTGCGATAAAAAAATCTTAGTGCGTTGACATCTTACCGTTGACTACTAATGAAGTCTTGCATTACTCTGCGCCCATTCGTGAATTATTAGTAAGAAAAACTGTTGATGTAGGAAATATATTGTAGTACGACATATAATTTTGGTGTTGCTCAGATTTGAGAGCAGGAGATTTAAATGGCCGATTGCATAAATATCTTTATCAACATCTAAACTGTTATAATTTGTAAATTCTTAAAATTTAAATATCTTGATGCATGTAAAAACAGTTTTTTTTTTACAAAAGTAAAGATACTTATACTTTTGTAATATTATTATCTTATATTTTAAAAATTGATACATGATATAATAATTTTTATATACTTTTTTATTTTTTTTACGTTTCATTTTTCTAAAAATTTTTCTTTCTAATTTAATATAATGTATAGCTTAAGGGGACAAATAATCTAATAAAGTAAAAAATATTTCAATTTATCATATCACATATTAAATTTCTTGTTTATTAGTGACATTTATAAATTAAATACAGTAAATTAATAATTAATCAATGATATTAATTAATAATACATTAGTTAATTTTATAAAAATAAAAAAAATTGCGATCCACACATACATATCCTTCAGACATCTGTCTTTATTATAATTGATTTCTTTTGAACCTTCGAAGAAAGAATCCCATGTTTTTTCGACTTTGACATTCAGCTACCGCGAAATCTCTTTCGTTATCAGCGTCACGTTACGTTACCCCCTCCCCTGTTACCCCCTCTTTAGACATTCTCTCAGACAGTCGCATTACGCTCCACCGCCGAAGCACCACATTCCTCTCGCTCGCTCTCCCGAGGGATGCTGTAGTCGCCTTGGTGGGGACCTCGACGCGATAGGGGTGGCTCCGCCCGTGAACCAACCAGAGGTCCCGCTGGAAGCGACCCGCCACACCCCGTGAATCGTCCCTGGGATCCCAAGAGAACCCTCGTCGTGCCATCCTCTTCTCAACAGATTTTGGATCCTCTAGTCCGCCAAGGGCCAGCTGACACGGAGCAGCGCTCTTTCCGTTGTCCGTTTCTTCCATCAGTCGCTCGTCCGGAAAGGTTCGCGCTACGCGGGCTACCCCCCGCGATCGCATCCACCCCTCCGGTGGCCTCGGGTTCTGATCGGAGTATCGGTCGCGTATCCCAACCGATCGATCGCTCGATCATGAAGACAGTCGGCCCGCCGACGGATTTCCATCGACGTCGCTCGTCATTTTCGTGATGTTGACGTGATCTCGTTGATGACGTGAAGGAAAACTCTTGTGATACCGATGTGTCGGAAGTGATCCGAATCCTCGTCTCGTCCAGAATCATTTGGAAGATCTAGGATTCCGGATCCGAGACAAACTACCGATGAACGGTCTTGATCTGTCTCGGTCCGCCGTGGATTGCAAGATGAACGGTAAGTCAAACAGATTGCGTTGTGTGTGTGTGTGTGTGTGTGTATGTGTGTGATGATGGACCAATATTAAAAAACATCCACGATGATTATATAATTGAGTTGATTTTTATGATTTATGTCAACACACAGAACGAAATGCGCGAATTGATTGAAACAAAGTTCTTGATATGATGCATATGTGGAAATAACAATGACAGACGTAAGAATAATCTTGATCCAAATGTTATTAAAGATAATTTTTTTATTAGCGTGAATATAGAAATATATGTCAATTTTCTAATTTTATACCAAATCGATATTTAGATAATCGACTCGATTATTTAGATTCACCACCAGCCTATTTTCACGAACTGATATAACATAAATAAATTGATTTTGTAATTACTTATCTCGTTCTTGTTTATTAAGGTCGATTATTAAATCAATCTTAAATAAGATTAGTGTAACCAGCTGTTAAAGCGTAAACATCGTTACAGGGTCGAATAATATTCGTTATGCCATGAGAGTTCGATACTCTTACAAAGTACGGACTTGTTGACGAAAAGATACCCTTCCATTTATTCCATTACATGCAAATATCGGCAAGGAAGCTTGACCGCAGCTTGTCCGGAAACCAGACTCTGCAGATTCGATCTTCTGTCCAATTTGGCCTGCCTTGGCCTGCTAATTCTGTGACATGCTGATAATTTTATCGACGTCTCACGATACTGCTCCTGGCCGCAGGATCCGACCATGTCGTTTTTCTAATTAACCCCAATCGCCAATCTGCGCCCCATGGTAGGGAGATCTGATACTGTCAGCGAGATTGGCCATTAATCGCACTATCTGCAATGGAGCTTTCGGAAATACCGGCGTCGCCTCTCACCATCTCGTGTTCCATAACATGGTACATTAAAAACGTCACTGTTCTCTAGAGGATCCCCGTATCACCAGGATGTCCTGTGCGGTCAGTGCTAACGCGGTCTGCACAAGTGCGAACGTTCTCTTCCGACATCTCTCTAGTCGCCAATTTGTTTAATTATCTTTTCCGGAAGTCACACTTGCGTTTCTTGAACCTCGTGGTAATCTCCGCGCGCGCGTGTCCTGCTTCTCTGCCACTCGAGATCCATTACTCTAAATTTTGTTTTGCTCAACAATAATCATTTTTAAATATCTTATGAGAATTAATCGACACTTTAAAATGTTTACATTATGTTCAAATTATTTAAAAGGTATTATATACCCTATGAAATAAGGAATTATGTAACTATATAAGTAAAATTACAAAGAAATTAATTTTGACTATTATATGTAATAGTAAAGATTGTTCAATGATTACTTTTCAGCAAAGAAGAATATATGTATAAAAGTATATATTTTTAAACTTTGTTTTCTTTTATCTGTTTAGTTTTTTGTATCAAATATCTATTTGCTTGACAATGTTTGGACGTTTACATTTGGCTTCGTGTATCTATTTAATGGGTAGATTAATCGATCATTGATTGATCGTTTGTTAAACCCTTCGATCGTGAAACGTTAACTGCCTATATATTTGGCGCATGCAACTACCCAGCAATCAATAGACGAATTCACAAAGTATCGCACACGCGCATCAATCATCGATCACAATAGACTCGTGCGATGCAAAAGAGTCATTTGCTTTATAACTCGCTAACTACTTCATCGCCATTGGCAAACATATATTATTATTTTCACAGTAAATATCATGTGACACACAATAGCAACTGATAGAATAATTTTCATTAACCGCCTATCCGCCATCGCCAATAATATTCTAATTCTTGTTTCCTGGTTATAAAATAACTCATAGTGGCCCCGTAAGATTTTACATACAAGTTTGTAATAAAATACAACTGACTCTTTTATTTTAGGAACATAAAAAGAGATTGCTTTTCGATGTTAAAAAAGAAAATTTTTTTTAAATAAAAATAATTTTATTATAAAAATTGATAATTTCATATTCTTCAGAATTAAAGCTGTAGATATAATTGGAAGTTCCGTGTACGTCTGCGGAGGAATTAATTTCTAAATTAATATAAAAAAAGAGGTTCTTCCCACGATTAATTCCTCTAGGGTGTAAGTCGCGCTAAAGCGGTACTACACTCTAATCATCTTCAGAGCCTCTCGAGCTGCTATCATCAGGGATAATGTCACGCATGGTTCAACAAGTATACTCGTACTTCTCTGTCAAGGGAGAAAGTATTCTGGCACTTGGATCCCACAGGAGTCAAAGACCCCTGGCTTTCGAGGGTTTTCCAAATATTGTTGTTGTATCATATCGGCTACTCACTGTGATGATTTGGAGTGTATATCCCGGGTACCCTCGCGCGATCAGGTCTCTTCTTTACGATCATCTCCGACTATGAACGCGAAGATCTGCTAAATCGTGTTTATTCTGTCGATCAGGACCGAATTTTGGATAATAATACTCTCTAAATTTCTTGAAGTGAAATCTCATTCCAAAAGAGTTAAAATACTGACACTACTGAAAAAGAATTAAAATATTGTCACTATTGGAAAATTTGCACTCTCAAATGAGAGTGGCAGATTTTCATTCTTTTTTTGGAATGAGATTTATTTCAAAGAAAAAAAATCTCACTTCTTTTTGAAGTGAATCCCACTCTAAAAGTGTGAAATCTTATTTAAAAACAAGAGTGCAAATTTTTCACTCTTTTCAATAGTGACAGTATTTTAACTCTTTTGGAGTGAGATTTCACTCCAAGAAATTAGGAGAGTACGTTATATTTATGCTTCTGTGTTGTTTATTTTATGATTACTTCTCAACTCAATTTTCATTTTTTTATCTAGACAAATAAATATTATATATCTAAATTTAGAAACAATGCAACTGTAAAAAAATCGTTAATTTAGAAGTATAGACAGGTTTTTTCAGTTAACAGCAATGGAGATATTTTAACATTTTTATTTAAGCATGTAATATTTATTTTAATATAATATAATAATAATTTGGGAATCAAAGCCTATGGATTATTATATGAATGATTTGTTTCTTTCCATTAACTGTGACACATCGATATCGACACTCATAGACATCCTGTCTCTTTGAGCTTCGTGTCGACAAGCACGCCTTGCAGGATCACCGTTTTCTTTTACGACTCGACCGCACCGTCGACATAAGTCGACGGATCCTTAAGTCTTTGTTTACTCTCTCGATTAGAATGGAATTGAAGCCGGCATCATAAAATTGATATTTTTAACGTTTTATTGCGTGGTATATGACGTGTATGGACCGCTTTTTATACATGTAGTCTAATGTGTAGAAATATTTGCTCCTTCTCTATGTCCTATTTAAACTTTTAAGAGGGGAACGTGTAACAAAATCAATAATTTATCTTAATTATTTAATAGCACCGTTGCAATATCGAAATTAATCGTGAGAAAGCTTTGATCATAAAATTATAGTGCTTCCTTCCCTTCTTCTCTATCTCTCATACACAATTTGTCTTCCTCTTTGATGCACCTGCTAGCTCGTCGCTAAAACGATCATTTGCTTAGTCGCCGATTCACACGGAACTCTCGCTGTTTACAGAGGACCTCTCGATCTTCGCAGGTTTCTCGGCTGGCTCGAGGACGCGCATAAAGTTCATAGTTTGTTTTTAGATAGCCGATACACCCGCGTGGATATCTTTCGATTCGGAGATAAGGCTGTCGTTAAAAAGAGCCCGTCGTATCCGGCTAAAGCGAGTTGTACAAACAAAACCAGATTCGTGCGATATTTCTTTGTCACTTCGAAACGTGATATAATTGTCATGAATAGATAACGATGCTTTTATTGGGAATGCGTGCAACTAAATGCGTTTAAAAAAATATCTCTTGTATAATTTATGTTTTCTTTAATACTATTATATTATTGTACACATTGTACCGAATTGTTTTTTTATTATATATTTTTGTCTATAGAGCAACGAGTTGTGTTTGCGGTAAAATATAATCGCAATTTATTTAATAATATATAGAATAGATCCCCTTTATTCTCTTATATCTTGCACTGTATGACATCACGACGCATCAAAAACAGCCGACAAGAGGACAATAAAATCCTTATCACGGCAAACATCCTCGGCTTGGGTGTCACTACGTGCACGCGGCAGCTGCGTACGACGAAACGTGCCGCAGATAGCGCATACTCCAATTGACACTTGTCCTTGTGTGTCTAGGATTCCGTCAAGTCATAAAGAGAGAAGGGAAGAGAGAGCAACGCAAACATAAATCTACTTTATCTCTCTTGTGCAAAATTCATGATTTTCCGACACCGAAACGCAAAGTTTACACGAAACCATGACCTTTCCTGCAACAAAACGCTCGTACTTGCGTTTAATATCACGAACTGCGACTTTATCGCGGGAACAAACTACCACTTTCTCAGAAATGACCAATCAATACGTCACTTTCCGGAAAGTCGTCTCTCATCATTGTTCTATAATATATGAACTTTTCTTAATAAACGTAGTTTTCATAAATGGCAAATAATAGTCGCACTAAGAATATAATAAAAATGTTTGATATAATCTTTAGAATAACTGACACGCGTTAAATAAATATTTTCATGAAAGAGAAAAGTCAATGATTATAGTTTGTTATTAGTTTTAAAGAATATAATTTTATCCTTTCTCGTCGAATTAAGAAGATATTATTTAGTCAAAGTTATTTTTCTTAGCTTTGGAAAACGTAAACATTATATATGTATATATATATATATATATAGAGAGAGAGAGAGAAAGAGAGAGAGAGAGAGAGAGACATCTATTAAAAAAGGATATAATTATTGTAAATTTAATTTTTTACTATGATTTTAGTATTTTTCTTGCTATAATTTCTGTATACGCATACATATATTTTTTTATAGGTAGGTGTATAGAAATTATAGCAGGAAAAATACTAGTATGAAATCATAGTAAAAGAAAAATAAATTTATAATAATATAATCTTTTTTATAGGTGTCGTTTCGATATTTTCTTGAGTATTTATTTAAGATTTATCGATTCATATCTCGTTTCATTTGTCCTTCCTAGGAAGCAGCGACGAAGGTGAGTCGACGTCGGGCGCGACTGGCGGGGGGGGGGGCAGCGAGAACGCAGAAATGGAGGAGAACGGATCGACACGCACGAGCAGCAACAGTAGCAGCAACAATCCCGTTTACAGAGATCTGAAACTACTTCAAACCGGCGAAGTTCTGCAGGAGTATAGTCCACAATCGCGGACCCCTTATCAGCAGCGCGGATACTCGCCGGGGATAGACCGACAACGGAACTATGAGAAGGAGCAACTTCAACCGTCACCATCTTCTAGGGAGGAAGAGAGAAAATCGTCCTGGGACTATGAGAAGAATAGAAAAGAATATTCGAGGTCGCGGGATTACAGCAATGAATATCGTGAGTTTCGCAGTTCCGTTAAAATCAATCTTCAAACGCAGAACGAGATATTTACATGACACTTATTTTAGCATTGCTGATTAAAAAATGAAAAATATTTAACCTTTCGTCGGCCATTTGGAATTTTACATCTTTCGTTAGTAACCTGGGTCTTCGAGCTTCAATGCAGATTTTTATTGACTTGTTCTTGACTTAAAAACGTGAAAAAATTCTTGCACTTGTAAAAATTTGGAATGAATTTTTACTATGATAGAAGTCAGATTGTATTTTACTTACTTTTTTATAGATTTAAATTTAGTTATCAAAATTCATAATCAAAATATTGACTGTGCTTTTAAAGTTCAACTGGATCAGCAAAGGGTGAAAATTCTTTGAACTTACACTCAACTATCGTAATAATTAAATTTCTACTCTCTAAATTCTTTAGAGTAGAATCTTACTCTAAAGAGTAAAAATTTGGGTTTCATTCTTCAAAGTGACAAACGTTTTAGAGAGCAGTGATTTATTAAATAGACAGATCTATATTGGATTAGTTCACGTATTTTGCCTTTATTCATGAGCTAATGCTTTCTTGATAAATATTCGATAAATGTACTTTGACGTTTATTTGCGTAGAGGATGCGATAAAACAGGAGCCTAAGGATCATTCGAGTCGCGAATGGGTGTCTCCCGTTCCGGAGGTCGAAGTCGGTGGTTCGGCAACCGGGGGTCCATACGTTCGTGCACGCAAAGACATCCCTCGTGGAGCGAGATTCGGTCCATTCCTCGGCAAATGGGCGAGCGAGCCTTTCAACCCCCGTTACGCGTGGGAGGTGAGTCATATATTTCTTCTCATGGTATGTACGTGTTTATCGTTTTCGCTCGCTTTCGAATTCTTGAGTGGAGGTAGTCGAAGCGATCGTAAAGCGAATAGGTCGGTGCTCGATCAGTTCAAACTGACCTTTTGAAGCGAAAGATGTTTGCTGCACTCTCAATGTTGCGAAATAGTCTTCCAACGCTGTGGAACTTTTTATCGGAGTCAATCAACGTTGCGGGTATTTTTTCCAATTTTGTTGACTAACGAAAAGAGCATTTGTTTATTAGTTTAGTACGAAGAATCAATATAGAAAAAGTAAGAGAAATCTCTTTTATATAGTATTTTTAGATATATTGAGTGTAAAAATAAAAAGAAATATATATATAATATATTTTATCTACATATATGTATACATACATTATATACGATAAGTGAATCAATAAGTAGTCTTAATTTTGCCCTCTCAAAAAAATTAAGATGATATATTAAGGTTACTTATTGATTTAGATATATGTATATATATATGTAAAATAAATATATATCTAATATATTATGTTTATATAACATATGTAGTTTACATAAATATGTATACATAATATTGTTATCTCTTTTTCTACTTTATCAGATAATAAAAATATACTTAAATGTATATGAAAAAATTCTAGAATTAGATTCCTCTTTCTGGTATGCCATATATAATTAATGTAAAATCATTAAATTTACTTCTTTTACGCTCAGATATTTACGATCTTTCTCGAATGAATAGCACACGTTTACATATTTAATACACGAGGATTCACACGCGAATCTTATTCGATATCATCTCGATTTTAAATTGTCGTCAAACCGTTTGTAAGATGATCGATCTGTTTATGGTTCAAATTCGGCGCAGGAATGTTTCATTCCGCGTCCGAGCCGATGTCAGTGGGTTTTCTATCCTACTGCTATAATCCCGGGTATTATCCGGCAGATGCCGGTAACAGTAAAGGAGAAAGAGGGAAGAGCAGATAGAGCCGTCTCCTCGTTTCGACAGCAGACACCTGGTCGACTCGTTCGCCGAAGGTGTCATCCACGTTGACAGATCTGTCAATTGGATCGTCTCGAACAACTTTCTCTTTCAGTTCCTCCGAAATTTTCGGATTCCTATGGATCTGTTCGAAGTGTATACGGTGGACCGCACATTCCTAAGTCGACCGTAAAATCGATGTTCGAAGTCAGGATCGGGGAGTCAGCCCAAATAAAATCGTCAATAACGGATAATTCTTGCTCTTGCATAATGAGAGTATTTGCAATTTACTTGTCTCATTGGCAGAATGTTATTAATTTGTAACGAATTTTTTAGATTGCGATGTAATAATGTTTTACGAAATTAACGCGATAACATAATCGATTGTGATTTTCACAATTGGTTCCATCTTTGGAAATTTACTGACATTTGCATCACATTTGCGCGTCAGAAAAGATTTCCAAATTTGGACGGTAGGAAACTGATCGCGTACTGGTTTAAAGGGTGTGATAGATATGATAGCGGCGGCGTTAGCGCATGTCGCACTGACAAAATGTAAATGGCACCATCCATCTAACTGCCGACAAAAAGGCAGCCGGGGCCAACTGTCGGACTGGCGATTACAGGATCGATTAAAGCCAAACTACCCCTTCGTTTCGTCGAGCCGATCTATCAACCCCACGCGCGTAAACGTACAAGCGCGCGAGAGGGAAAACATCGCGAGAGAGTCAGTCGCGATTTCTCATGTCGATCTGTTTATTCTGAATGTCGTACAAACTGAGACGCGAACTGATAGAAAGTTTTTAAAATTATTCAGACTTTTAATTGAATTTTCAGAGAATGATACTAAAATTTAACATAGTGATTAATATATTATTTTTTTAAATATGCTAATTTTGTTGCATAAATTATAAAAATACTTTTATCATAAAAAAGACTTTGCTTAAAAGCTTGAATATAAAAATATTAAAATCGTAGCAATAGGATACACCTTATGATCGAATTTCTACGACAATGTCGGTAACGAATCCTTGGGATCTCACGAACCTTTTTCAGAATCCGGTGAAGCAAAAAAGTTCCCTTTCGGTCGATTCGTACGTTATTTCCCGATCCTAATCCTTTTCTCACATCCTACAGGAAACGGACTGAAGTTCTCGAGACGCAAGATCAATGAAGGGAGAACCTCGAAACCGAAATTCGCCCTAAATTTCCTCGGTGTTTATCCACCCCGAATTATACCGCGAAAGATCAGGAAGTTTTTATGGGATTGTCGGATTAAGGATGATCGCTCTGAATTAATTTTCCGATCAATCTGGAAACATTAATTTTTTGAGAAATATATACATATTAATTTGAGATCAATTAATGATCAAAATAATAAAATAATGCTGGATATTAAGAAATAATTTTCTAATTTTCGAGAGAAAAAATTTATCATTTGTTTTTTATTAATTTCTGAAGTGTATTGCAATATTTCCAAATTTCTATAAAAGAAACAAGAGAATAAAATTTTATTTTTAGACGATAATATTTTCATGTTACTTTATTACATATTATTGCGAAAGGAAACGTAACAGTCGTCTTTACGGGGGTCTCGAATTATTGTTTGGATCCGAATTGCTTGTCGGTAGTCTAGGTATCACTATTACATCACCTGCCGCGAGATTTCTACCTCATTTTCCGAATCTTCTAAAAAGAGTGAGATAAAGTATAAGAGAAAAAAGGAGGGGAGGCGATCAGGATTCGCTCCTCTCCCTGTTCGGTGACGCGTGATCCACAGGGCGACCGACCTGCGGCGTGCCTGCGTGGCGACTAAACCAATCTAAGGCTTAAGTTCATTCGACCGAGAGACCCCTCGCGTGAAGGCGAGTTCCAATTTGCCGAATGATTTCGAGAACTCGAGTTAAATGATCAACGCGAAATATCAAACAGCAGGCGCGAATGAAAGAAGGAGCGAGAGGAAGACATAGCGAAAAAGAATGAAGATGTCCTTTCTTCTAAAAATTTTAGTAAAGAGTCAAGACTAAAAGAAATAAAAGGAGCATATATAGTTTTGTCCTCGTAGTAATTACTTTCATAATCGTCGTCATTATCGTCATCGTTGTAGTCTATAATGACAATGTTAACATAAAATACCAACCCCTTTAATTTTGCGAGAGATAAAGAAACAGAAAATAAGTTTCTTCCTCTGAATTATGTGTTTTGCATGTGATTGGTTTTTTGGGAGTTGTTTTCAAACACATTTGAAAAATTTATAATTTTTTTGAATATGCGTAAAAATTTATTTTTTAAATAAAGTATGCTAAATAAAGCGAGCATAAGTTCTAACAAGAATCAATGCATTAGATTTAGAGCAATAAACAAACTGTAGAATATGTTCTATATAAAAGACACATAAAACAATGTTTTATATAGACAAATAAGTTATATTTCAGATTTTATTTATTATAGATGCTCTCTAAGTTAGGGGCGGAAGAAAGAGAAATATTTTCATATGTATATCATACTATTAAATGCCACGTGAATTATTATTATATGCGATTTTAATCATAATTAATTAAATTAATAATAGAATTAATATTGTTGAATTATAATAATAAGAAAAAGAGAGTTGGGTACAGAAATTTATGCGTAAAAATAAATTGATATAATTTGATTTAATATATTTAAAGTCTTCGCTTACACGTTGCGGCTCATTTTTTAGCTTTCCTCAGAGCATAAAAATATATCGTAGAAATATATCGGGAATTATTATCTATATTTATTATTTATAATTGTTATAATTGCTAATCGTATTCAAGATAATGGATCTCTTATCAAATTCTTATTGTATATTATTGAAATATTTTTTTGTATGTTACATTAAGAATCATTCATGTGAAACATTGAATTTAAGCTCACGAAATTATCTTACTCTCCGCAGCTACTTGCGCATATTCTCTCTTTTCAACATTTTCCTTCTTACTTTTCTTCGTCTACATATTGAAACCGACGGCATTTTTTTCCACGCGGTTGCCGGCAACCCCTCTCGAGGTCTCTTGACTCGGATTGGAGACCGTTTGCCTTTCGAAACGACCACGTGGGAGAAAAGGAGGACCAGAGTACCGCTTGTTTTTCATGTTGAAGCAGCCGCACGCGCCTCGTCGCCCATACGGGGCACTTTTTCGGCAAATCGGTCGGAAAATTTCGCTGTTAGCGACGTATGCAACTGACAAATTATATTAATGGTGATCCTCGATGTAACGTGCCATCGTCAACCGCACGAGTTTCATTCCGTGGTTGATGCGCGATATATGATATTGTCATATTGATATAATCCAAACACATTAAAATCAATATACACACATAGCTACACTATGTTTTCTAATTACTTAATCTAATATAGAAAGATTAAAAAAAAGGACTACAGAAAATCTGTGCAGTTAATAATTTTTATGAAAGTAAAAACGACAAATTTGTTCGATTTCTTTATATCGATATTCTTTCACGTTCATCATTATCAAACTGATTGTGAGATTTGCTCTTTCATTCCTTATTGAAATTCATGAAATCGCAGCATCAAAGATATATGTTTCTTTTATAAGATTCTTTGAAAGCGTGAGTGGAACATCGATATAAATCGCATTGTCGACATTATTAAATTGTTGGTCCATCCTGAAGTAGGTATTTTAGACAATCCACGCGTCCGCCGTTTTAGGCATACAATAGAACACATCGGTGTCTATTATTCACAGACATTTTCCATGCGAACTGGTCTTTAGGGCGTTACTGGAGGTCAAGCCCCGGAAGTGATTCGACAATGAGGAACATTATGCTCTTCCACCTTCCCCTTCCTTCATCACCTTCTTCTATATCCTCGTCGAAGGCCGATCCTCGTTCTTATTAACTTCCTTAGTGCACGTAAGTGCAACGTGATCACTTTTCGCTTGCATCCAGGGTTTCGCATTAAGTATTTCAAATCGATACTCGAATGGTCAGTGGGATTTTGCGTTCGCTAGTTCTCAAGGCGT